AGCTGGAGAGGAAACTACAGGAGGAGGAGCAGCAGAGAAGGAGGATGCAGGACACAGCCGCACAGGTCACACACACACACACACACACACACACACACACACACACGTCAAGAACTCTGAAATGTGTTTTTTTTTTATGTTTGATGTAATCTTGATGTAATCTTTGGATTTTAATAATGCATCAGTTAATGTTGAGCTATGATTAATAAATGCTTTGCGCGATTATTCAGACTTAGTTATTGAAAGTAAAGCTGTGTAATATAAAAGCATGTTTTTATTCAAAGACTGGCATATTGAGTAATATATATATAATCAGAGACTTGCTGTTTTAGTTTTATATTTAAAGCTTCTTTATTAAAATGTATTTGAATAGTTTATATATTTATAACTCAGTCTGGTAGTGTTTTAATGGTGTTGTTTTCTCTGTTTAGTTGCAGACGGGTCTAGAAGCCAATCGTCTGCTCATCCAGTCTGTCTCTCCCCGTCCTCATAAATCCAGCAAAATCAAGCAGAAGAAAATCTCATCAAAGGTAAACCAGTTCAGACAGACCTTTGCCCCTTCAATAATTGAAGCAACCAACTTTTAAAACCTATAATTAAAAAAAATCAATCTTATGCCTGAACAAAACTGACGAACATTCAGATCGTATAATTGAACAAAACTGATGAGCTAATAAATTGTTTAATTAAACAAATCTGACAAACATTCAAATCATATAATTAAACAAAACTGACATTCAGATTGTATAATTGAACTAATCTGACAAACATTCAAATCGTATAATTGAACAAACCTGACACGCATTCAAATCGCATAATTAAACAAAACTAACAAACATTTAAATCGTATGATTGGACAAAACTGACGAACATGCAAGTCGTATAATTGAACAAACCTGAAATTCTAATTGTTTGATTGAACAAATCTGACACTCATTCAAATCGCATAATTGAACAAAACCAACAAACATTCAAATCATATGATTGAACAAATCTAACGAACATTCAGATTGTATAATTGAACAAAACTGACAAACATTCGAATTGAATAACTGAACAAAACTGACAAACATTCAAATTGAATAATTTAACAAAACTGACAAACATTCGAATTGTATAATTAAACAAAACTAACAAACATTCAAGTTGAATAATTTAACAAAACTGACAAACATTCGAATTGTATAATTTAACAAAACTGACAAACATTCGAATTGAGTAATTGAACAAAACTGACAAACAATCGAATTGTATAATTGAACAAAACTAACAAACAATTTAAATCGTATGATTGAACAAAACTGACAAACATTCAAATTGTATAATTAAACAAAACCAAAAAACATTCAAATCATATGATTGAACAAATCTGACGAACATTCAAATTTTATAATTGAACAAAACTAACAAACAATTTGAATTGTATGATTGAACAAAACTGATGAACATTCAGATTGTATTACTGAACAAAACTGACAAACATTCAGATCGTATAATTAAACAAACCTGAAATTCTAAATGTATGATTGAACAAATCTGACACATTCAAATCTCATAATTGAACAAAACTAACAAACATTTAAATCGTATGATTGAACAAAACTGACGAACATTCAAATCTTATAATTGAACAAACCTGAAATTCTAATTGTATTATTGAACAAATCTGACACATTCAAATCACATAATTAAACAAAACTAACAAACATTTAAATTGTATAATTGAACAAAACCAACAAACATCCAAATCGTATGATTGAACAAAACTGGCGAACCTTCAAATCGTATTTGTTCAACCATATGATCTGAATGTCAGGTTTGTTTTATAATACGATCTTAATGCTTGTCAGATTTGTTCAATTACGCGATTTAATAGTTCATCAACTTTGTTCAATAATACAATCTAAATGCTTGTCTGATTTGATCAATTACACAGTTTATTAGTTCATCAGATTTGTTCAATTATATGATCTGAATCTTCATCAGTTTTGTTCAATTATACGATTTAAATGCTTGTCAGATTTGTTCAATTGTACGATTTAATAGTTCATTAGATTTGTTCAATTATACGATCTGAATGTTCGTTAGTTTTGTTCAGGCATAATATTCAAATTGTAAAATTGTGTCAAAAGTGATGAACATTTAAATCGTATTGATCAAAACCAACAAACATTCGAATCATGTGATTGAACAAATCTGACATTCAGATCGTTTAACTGAACAAATCTAACAAACATTCAGATTGTATGATTGGACAAAATTGACACATGAAAACTGTATAATAGAACAAAATGTAACAAATTTAACAAAACCAACATTGAAAACTTATAATTTAACAAATTAAAAAAATATATCTAAGCTTCTAATTAAACACTGTGTATGTGTGTGTTTCAGAAGACACACTCGCCACAACCGCATTACAGACTGAGTCTGGGAGATGTGCCGTTTGTGACCGGGACGGTAAACACACAGCCATGCGTCACACACTGACATTATATCT